TTTATAAAAGCAACAACAAAAGTGGAGAGATGAAGGGACAGCTTTGATTTTCCAGCAGCATCTGAGTCTGTGGTCAGACAACCCAGAGCAGAGTGAAAGGAAGGCAGGGCAGAGGGTGTGCCAGCGTCCAAGGGAGGAGCTATAAAGAGAAACTGCCGAGAGAATCAAGGCTGGGAATACACAGGGGTGTTCTTACAACTTATGTGTAAAATCAAAAAGCAGAAAGAACGATTCAGCTACACATCTTAGGTAAATAAATATTTATTTAGCATTTCTTATATGTTAGATCCTGTGTTAATTGACGAAAACTGAAAGTTGAATAATTCTGTCTTCCAAGAGCTCGCAGCAACAGTATTATAATTTTGAAATAATGTAACATGCAATTATAGTATTTCTGAGAGGGCAAAAGAGACTGATGCCTAAATTAGTTGGTATAAAATGGTTGAAATTATTTCTAAGAACTGAAATGCTTGGGATTAAAAACAACTGGGGAGAAATCCTTCCTAGTAAGGGATGCATGAGCAAAGACAGGCATGAGGCAGAGTAGTGTGTAGTGTGGTGAATTGCAAGCAGGACGGTTAGATATTCAATTATGTGCTAGGGAATGTGAAAACATTAGGCTGGGTAAGTAACCTGGCACTAAATCATTACAGGATGTCATGTTACACAGCTTGGATTTCATCCTGAATGTAGTAGTTAAAAATTGAAGATTGCCTTCAGCAAGGAAGTGAAAGAGCCATATATACAATAAATTATCCAGGTAAAATATGATAAAGGCTCAAATTTCTGGAGTAGTGGCATGTACAGTCTAGAATTTTGTTCTGGAGTAGATGATTGTGCACAATTATTACAGAAGCCAGGCAATCCAAAAGTAACTCCTAGGTTTCTCGATCTTAGGCCATCTTAGAGAAAAAAGACATTAGAAGAAGGGTAAAATGTTCTGTTTTATAAAAGATCCACTTAAATTGACCATACCATTAAAGGATATTCTAATAAAAAGCTGTAACTAAATGAGCATGATGCTTTGAGTGGAGACCATGGTTTATAAATAGAAAAGTTTTGGTCATTAACATTAAATTCTGTAGTAGCTGTAGTAATGAAGGTGGATGAAAATACATATGTACAAGTATGTGCAATGCACAAGACAAGCAGGCTGAGGACAATGCCTGCTCGAAGAGGTAGCATTTAATGAACTGGCAGAAAAAGAAACAAGAGACAAACAGGCAGAGGTATGTGAAGAAGACGTGGAAACAGAAGTGTTCCAGAGAGAGCAATCAAGGGTCCAAAGAAACAGATGTTTCAAAAGTTAATGCTTTCTAGTACCTTACTGTTAATGCTTTCTAAGTAAGATAATTAAACAAGAAAATACCTTTGGTTTATAATTTGCTTTTGTTTCTTCTATTTGTTATCTTGTAGTCATTCTCCATAATTTCCAACCTGTGCTATCAAGGGTACAAAGCACAACTGCAGATTTGTAGTAACAAGAAATCAACAAGGACATGACGAGGAGTGGGAAGGTGTGAAAGTTTTAACTCTGAAACTGAGGATTGCACTGCTCGGTGGTAAGCAAGATGCCCTTTTACTTTGTCCACTTCTCAAGGGTGGCTTATACAGTTCATTTTTCTTCTGGTGCTCTCCTAAACAGTTCTGGAATTGGTTGGCACTTCTTTTAGGGGCAAGTGAGGAACAGAAAATAAATTTAATTCAAGCAATATACTTATGTAAATTGTGCTTATATTTTTATCTGAAAACTCAAAGCCAGATATTCAAAATGAGTATCACGTTTGTTTTGACTGCCAATCCACAGCAGACCACCACCACTACTTCTTCCAGAAGTAGCCAAGCATAACAAGAAACATAAGCAACCAAAAAACCACACATAAAACAAATCCTGAGGAATGTATGCAGAAGCTAAATAAATAGTGGAGGTCACCAAACACATGCACTGTCAGGAAAAGGGGAATGAAAGTCTGTGGAAAAAGAGAAACCACCTGCCAATTTCAAATAATTCAGCTCCAGGAACTGGCTGTGGTTGAGCCTACTCGCTGATGCTAGACAGTCACCACTCAGACTTTCTGTGCTTTGAACATTAGCAATAACAATCTCAAGTTTCATGCAGTGCATGGCTTAACACACAGGTGTTATAATCACAGTTTCAATTTTGAAATTGGCCTTGCAGTATTTAGAAAACAGTGAGCTGTTTGTGGCATTTCAAAAGAAAATTTGTGAAAAGCAAAATGAAAACCTCATGGTTGATTCTTTGTTCCATTCAGGTCAACATCTTAATTCCTTTTGTTAAAATACTTTTGACGACAGTACCTAAGCATCTAGCAACTCTCCCTATAATATGATTAGATGTAAGAATTGGAATAGAGTTTGAAGAAATTTCAATATAACTGATGTGATACATCCCAAAGATTTTTCTGACAGTTCACAAATCTAAGACAGCCCCAGATGGGAGAAAGCACTGAACTCACCAACACTCAGTGCTGTCATCAGGAAACTTCCAGGATACTATGACTGGAATGTTAACTGTATACGTAAAAGTCAAGCCTTAAAGATTTACAGGAATTTTTTGTAATGGTGAAGGAAAATTCTAAAGAAGCAAACTGAGTTGGCATGAAGTATTGACAAGAAGATCCAGAAAAAGAAATTCTGAGATGCTGGTTTTTTTTGTTGCTGTTGTTCTGTTTTTAGCAAAGAAGGGCTTGGTTGTTAGAAGTTGTTGGACTATACTTGTATGGAAGCTACAAACCTGGCTGAAGTCCTGGGAACTGAGGTCTCTGTCTTGAGAATAAGAGAATCCAAGAGTTTACTGTGTAGACAAATGTCCAGGACAACTCAAAACATGGGTCAATAACCACATTCCAGTATATAAATGACATAAATAAGTAATTCATGTTTATGAACCAATGAGGTTCATTTCATCAGAATGGAGCACAAGAAGGCAGTGAGCTGAGATCAAGGAACAAGAATATGAGACCCAGTGATTTGCATTAGAAATCTAAATCCTAACCCAGGTGATGGCTTCAATAAATACAATTTGGGTATAATGAGGGCATCTATGGCCCATGACTCCTGAGTCAGTATGTCAAGGAGGGTTTTCAAACACACAGGCTTAGCAATAGGACTCATCGAATGGGCATAATGACGGAAAAAGTCAAGTGCTTCTTCCAACACTTCCAGGAGTTCTTTTGCCAATAAGGATCTCACCCATAAATAATGCAGAAAGAGAGGAAAGGAAAATGAAATAGGAATATGGTTGACAATGTCACAGATAACACAATGTGTTAATCAGCTTCCCAAAACTTTCCAAAAGATAATGGGAAACTAAGGCTATGAAGAACCATGTGGTTGGATAATCTAGCTATCATTGTGTCATTAGAGGCTACTTCACAAAAATTCAATTAATTGCATACTCAACTTATGTTGAGACATCAAAAGTGACAGAAAGCCTTTCTTATTAGGGGTCTACTCTTTGGAATGCTCTGAGAAAATTTTGCTTAAATTAGTTCAGAGCTATCTCTTTGAGACTTAGACTTCTATGGTCTTCATTTATCCCTCAGAATCAAATAATATAGAATGTGTTGATTCTAATAAATTCCTTCACATACTGATCGCTATTTTAAGAATACTTCTCAATTTGTGTAATCCCTATTTTTTTTTTTTTTACTTAGGTAGGAAATGCCAATTTAGTGAGTTAGGTAGGAAGGGAGGGTTACCTTTATTTTCATCAATACAATAATTACAAGAATAAAGCTTTAAAAACAAATTACGAGGACCAGGCATTTTAGCTCAGTGGTTTCGCTGCCTGCCTTGCAAGTGCAAGGACATGAGTTCAAACCCTGATATCAAAGAAATAAAATAAAAATAAATCATTCTCTTCTCTTGATTGTGTGATATTGAAAAAGTCACTAAATAAAATATAAACTTCAATCTTTAATTGCATTATCCATACACTGTAGGACAGGTGGGAAATGGCTTAATTAAAAAAAAAAAGACAATAACACTGGCTAACTACAGAAAAGTTAAGATAGTGGAAGAGTTAAGAAAAACATACATTACCCTAACAGGGTCTAGGCATCAAAAATGACTATTGAAATAGACATGAGAAGTTCAATAAAAAACAGGCTTTGGAAACAATATAGAGTTGGTAGTGGAGTTGGGCTGATTACAAGAAAGGATAAAGAAATTCTTTTGGGTGACAGAATTGTTCCATATGTCAACATTGGTAGTACGTACAGGATTATATGCATTGTTGAAAGCTCACAGACCTGTACAGTAAAAAGATAAAAAAATGACAAATTTTATGTATGCTAATAACATTTCAATAAAAATTAACCTGCAATAATTAATCTACTTATCTATGTTTTTATCCAATCCCCATTTCATAAAAAAAATGTTCTATCCTAAATTGTTAAGAATAGTTATTTCTTGGAGGTCTGTTTATAAATTTACCAAAAGATATTACAATTAGAAGTAAGCACTTGAGTGGAAAGGTCATATGTAATCAAAATTGTGACAGCAATAATGAG